CACAGCTCTTGGAAGATCTCGAACCACATGGCTACTGAGGTGGTCCAAGTCAGCGGTCTCCAGTCCACACAATGGGCATTCCAGATGTTCAGGAGGGGTCAGACCATGGAACTCCTTAGCCCCTCAGGTAAGCAGAATCCCCTCATCAGTGATCTGGCCAGATGTCTACCCGCAGCCACCTTTGAACTCAACGTTGTTTTGCATCCCACGTGCATGTTTGCCGGTGTAAGTACATGCCCAGCATGTTGTACATGATGTGTCGCCCATATGTGTTTTTAATGTCGTTTTGTTGCATTGAATGCTGCAGCACATGCGCCTCCACCCTCCAACGACTTGCCTCGATGGCCCAGCCTTCGCTCATTCGGCAGCGCTCCATTCCAGGCCGTTTGCGGCTCCTGTGGCGATGGGAGCAACTCAGGGCAGAGCAGAACCACGGGTGAGCTGAATCAGACTCAACAGGCGTAACGTCTGCGACCAGCTGGCAACCGACGAGCAGGGTGGGGTACGGAATTGCCACGCCCCAGGCCCGCATGGCGCGATCACGAATCTCAATCGCATGTAGGGGCAGGCAACAGAATTGCGACAAATCCAACAACACACGTGCCATCCAGATGCACTCGTCGTTGTATCCGTCTCACATCCCGAAGTACTTCTCCGAACTCAGACTGATGCATGCGCTTGTCACTGCTACCCTTTCTTATGCGACATCCCTGCTGCTGCTGCTGCCTCCCCGCCCCCACGTGTGCCTGCGCATCCGTCGGCAGCCACGTGGTCAATGCCCAGGGCGGCGCAGGAGAAGGGTGTTCTTGGGCTGGATGAGACGCGAAGCGTCTCTGGCATGCGGCCAGTCGATAGGACTGATTGCCGCATGCGCACGCGCGCGACATAACACACAGTAAGTTGGATATGAGGCGTGTTGTCTTGGTAGGCCCGATATATATATATATATATATATACATATATATATGTATATATATATATATATATACATACATATATATGAATGAATGAATGAATGAATGAATGAATGAATGAATGAATGAATGAATGAATGAATGAATGAATGAATGTGTATATATATATATATATAGGTACATGTATACATACATATGTATATATGTGTGTGTGTGCATGCGACATGTGTCACGTCAGCAGACGGAGTCATGAAAGTATGCGACCAGTTGTGGCAGAGTTTCTTGTGCACCAGCCCTGGTTTGTCCCTGCACCTGGCGCTGGGGGGGGTCGTGTGGTAGTTGTATGGCAGTGCGGGCTTGCCTCTGCGGTTACATGTGCATTTAAAAGTGTGTTCATCTGGATTAATATATGTGGCAGTGTATACACGTCGTCACGCATCCTGCTGGTTACAAATATGTACATCGATATTTATATATACATATATATACACCTGATTATGTATGGTCTAGCATACGCAGATATATCCCAAGCCCGAAACGTTCCTGGCGGGTGGATTATGTATGGTCTAGTATACGCAGATATATCCCAAGCCCGAAACGTTCCTGGCGGGTGGGGTGGGAGGGGCCTCTGGTCCCATAGTCCCCGCTTCCCGCAGCGAGTGTCGTGGAAGTGAAGACCGTGCTGAACACGGACTACAGCCCGGCAACCGCGCCAGAGCGCAGGGAGTGCGTGTATTGCAGGAGCTCGCGCTCCGACCGACCGAGCCCCCCTTTTCTGCCAGCGAGGCCGAGCCGGGGTCGGCCTCTCTTCCTCCGTCGCCTTGTCGTGTATCCGTTGCTGTTCTTGCAGGCTCTTTCCTCGTCCTTCTCCTGCGTCTCTTCCCCATCATTTTTGCCCCACCCCGTCCATCTCGTCCTGTCCTCGTCTCCGCCGCTCACGCGACAACTGAAACCGTCGAGTGGGACAATTGGTCCTTTGGCCTTTCCCGAGAAAGTAGACCAGTAAGCTGGCCAACGGCGCGTTGCAAAAAGGTTGTCCCCCGTGGATCACCAAAGCCTGCCGCCGCCGCCGCCGCCATCTTCCGTTCACCTCGCTCTCTTCTTTTCGTTATTCTCGTCCTCCTCGTCCTGACCCACCCCCTGCCAGCTCTCTCCCCCTCGGAGCCAGAGCTGCGGGCAGGGCCTCTGCCGCGCGCGGGCCGCGACGCCGCCTGGCACGCCCCGCGAGGGCGTGCCCCCCCTCCGCCTCCTCCCGCCCCCTCTGCCGCAGAGCGGGCCACGGCCGGGGGAGCACGCGGGCGTCGCCGACGTCGACGCCGCCGCGGCCGTAGTCGACAGCGCCGACGACGGCGCCGACGACGGCGCCGCCCCCGCCCGCTGCAGCGCGACGTCGACGACAGCGTCGCGCCGCAGCGGGCGGGGCGGCAGCGCGCGCCTGGGCCACGGCAGGGGCCCAGCGGCCCGGCGTGGCGCGCGGGCGCGCCGCGCCCCGCGAGCTCCGGCTTGTCCCTGCAGCTCACGCGTTGGGGGGGCCCTTCAATTTCGGTGCCCCCACTCGGCAGCTATGACAGTGACGACGACGCCGCCGTCGCCGACGACGACGACGACGTCCACCCTTCACGCCCGCCACAGGGCCACCACCACGGGTGGGGGGTGCGATCCCATTTGCGAGGCCTTCGCGGGGCTCACGGGTGTACCCATCCATGGGTGTGGTTATGCCAGGGTGTGGTTTGCGATCGTCGCCGTTTGGGCTTAGGGGTCACCACGTTGCGCCAATGGTTTGATGAGCTCGTCGGGGCACGGCAGAGATCTCTGTCGAGGTCCTCGCCCGCCTCCCCAGGCGCGGGTTGCAAGCCACACCCTTTGCAAGCCACGCCCTTTAGAGTCGCCGACCCTCTCGAGAGATCGTCGGCACGGTGGGCCCCAGTAGAGGGGGCCAAGTATCGGGGACCAAACGAGAACAGAAACACAAAAGCTCGGAGGTCCGCGCGGATTCCTCGGATCGGCGGTTGGACCCCCCCCCTCCCTGGCGCGCGGAACGCGCCAGGTGCGGCGGGACCCCCCGGCGCCGCTCCGAGGATTCCGCGCGGACCTCCGAGTCTTGATGTTAATGTCATTGCTTGCTTTGCTTCCCTGAATCGGGCCGGACGAAAGGGGGGGATTGGGAAACGGGAGGTTACGAAATCTACTGCATGCAGCTGGTTTCGGCCCCACCGAGGGGCCCATTCCTCGATACACAGCCGTCCCCAGCGCCGGGAGGCACCGGGGAAATCAGCTACGTGAGCTGATTCCCCCCTTTGCTATCCCCCCCTTTCGCCCGGCCCGACTGAAGGAGCACGGCTCGTCCAGCTGTGGCCGGTCGGCTGCCCTCCCCCATGGGCCCCGTCCAGTCGTCGAGCGCCGGGGGGCATGCCCTCTATCGGGTCGGCGACACGAAGGCACGAATCGTCGGATAGCAGCAGACCAGGCGCGAAAGGAAATGCTGACGGAAAAGCAAGGAGGGCGCCTCTTCCGCCTCCACGCCGCGCCGCTCCAGCCTCCAATCTCTACGTAGCCCCTCTGCGGTTTCCTTTCGGATCATCCTTTGTTTCTGCGTGGCCCCGTTTTTGGTCCCTTCTTCGTGGTCCTTCCGTTGTGCCTCCGTGGTGCCTCCGTTTGCCCTTCTTGGTTCCTTCGCGTTCCCGTCTTAGTCCCCCCATCCATGGTCCCAGTTTGGCTCCTCCGCGGCCACTTCTCCTCAAGGCTCCAGGGCCTGGTGCTCTAGCGAAAACCTTCGGCCTTTGGGCTCGGGTCTCCCGGGTGTCTCTGGCAGCGCTGGGGGCTCCGGGGAGCCTCTCTGGGCCGACCGGGAGCCGCGCTTCGAGCAAACAACACTTCACTCGTGGTGTCGGCGGCTTCAGGGTGCAGAAGACATGCTGAAACAAAAACGAGACGGCCGGTTGTCCCCCATACCTCCTTACCGGGGGATTATGTTATTAGTGCGACGCCTCCGCCTCACTCACTCCCGCCCCCCTCCTCCACACCCCCTCCATCCCATATTCATGCTTATCCATGCTCAGAGCTACTCGCACTCCTACCGCGTCATTCAGACTCAGACCACGCACACTCAGACCCACTCACACCCAGACTCACTCATACTCTGTTTCAACCCCATGCAGAGTCACTCACACTGAGATTCGCTCGTTCATATTCAGATTCGTCCACATTTCGAGTCACCCATCGGCAGACTCAGTCACACTCAAATTCGCCCACACTGAGATCCACCCACATTCACAGTCACATTCGGACCGTCTCGTGCTGAAGCTCACCCGCACACAACCCACCAAGGACGACGGAAATTAAACGCGGGAGTCGGGGAGCGCGGAGGTGGAACGCCAGGTTGGCGAAAGGCATGGACGGGGGTTGCCGGGAACTCTCTCGTCGTCACGGCGGGATTATTTTCGAATTGCTCGGCGAAGTAAACCCCAGCAGAAGTCTTGAGGTTGCTTTGTTGGGAGATGGGCCTTGGGGGTCCCAGAGTTCTGGCGACCCGAAAGAATCGTGTCGGAGACATTTCGCCATCCTCGCGCTCCGAAGACCGTCTCCGGGATCCGGGGCCAGCAGAGCAGTCGCTCTGGACGGAAGAGGACGAGCCAGAGGAGGAACAGGACGGATGCCGACGCCTCCATGGGCGCTCCTTCGACCATCGCGCGCCCTGGAACTGGGGCAGGTTGGCCCAGTCATTTGGCGCGCCTGATTCCAGGGAGTACATTCGTTTCAAAACCAGGTTGCTCTGAAAGGTCGTTTGTCAGTGCCGATGTGGAGGTTTGAGTTTCGGAGGGTCGTCCCGCAAGATCGTGATGTCCATTTTGAGTTCCAGAGGGCCCTCCCTCGTCCTCTCCACTCCTCCGTTTTTTTTCGAAGCCTTGATCTCGGCTCCGACAGCCGCGCCAGCCCTTCTTTTACCTCTTCCCCTCCACTCCGTAGTCTTCTTTTTTCAGTGCAATGCTCCCTTCACATAGTATGTTCTTTGACCGTGTCCTCGTCTTCCTCTCCGGGCGCCCCCCTGGAACGGAGGGGCCAGCGGATCTTGGAGCGGGCAAGCCC